CCACGTGGGCAGCAGAGGCCCAAGCACTTACAGCATCCTCTACGGCTTTCAAGGACATATTAGCAGGAAACTAAATTTAGACGCAGAGAAGCTGGGACTGGAGCCAGTGCTCTACTGTGGGATGCAAGTGCTACAACTAGTTCCTTGACACACTGTGCCACAACCCTGGATTACATTGACTTTCGTCAGGTCAGTAAAACACTGTGATGTCCATGAAGCAGTAGTTGAAAACATCATCGACCATTCTGAAATGTCCTGGGACCGTTCCAGCATGTCTCAGATGTCCTGGGACCGTTCCAGCGTGTCTCAGATGTCCTGGGACCGTTCCAGCATGTCTCAGAGTAAGGTTTGGATGTAGCCTGTGGGGATGTGGGTGCTGCAGTTCTCTGGATCTGACCTCCCAATGGTGACAATAGGTTGTCTTGGATAGAAGTACTTTGGTCCATCCAAGTGGAATTGCAGGCAGCACCCTGCACTCAGGGCTGAAGAAAGAAAGATGCATGGTTCTTTTGATCTAACATAGCACTGGTTCCTTGTCACAACTGAGAAATCTCCAAGGACATGCTGACCCTCTGTAGTCTCCCCGGACAAGCAGCTGCCACATGCCTGCGGGAGATGGTGGGGCTTTATTTCCCATGCGCTGCCGTTCCTGAGGGCTGTGGGCTGCAGCAGGCTCTCCCCAGTGTGCCGTCACAGCCCTTGCCCAGCGACAGCCTCTGCCTGGTCTCGCTTTCTGGATGCCTGATTGATACACCAGCAGGCAGAGATGGGAGGCAGGCTGTGGTAAATGTGCCTTCCTGGAAGCCTGGGTGAAATGAATCCAGGATTGGGATGCCGCCAAAACCGTATATGCAGAAGTAAGAGCCGTCTGCAGCCTGCAGGGTCCCCGCTCCAGGTTCTAGGAAGAAGCTGAAGGTTCACTTACAAGGAGCCTCCCCTGTGTTTTGGCTGTTGCTATCAATGTGTCTTTCACCTTGATCTAGCCTCAAATAAAAGACAAGTTATTTTGCTTTAGAGACTATCAAATTAGGACATCATAAACCATGTTAATGAGCCAGTGAAGGCAGAGCTGAAAGCTTTCCCCTAAAGCAGAGTAGCACAGATGACATTTTGCCTCATGTTCAGTGGCAAACAAGGCAAGGGAAGTTTATGGCTTTTTTTCCTTTTCTGGAAATTGCCTGGCTGCTTTTTAGTTTAAAAAACAATCGTTTCCTTAATAATTTTTCAAAATGATTTGTCCAAAAGGCAGCATAACCTAGGAAGGCTGTGAGAGCCAAGGGTGCCAGTAGAGAGGACGTGCGCAGCTCAGTGGTGCCCACGGAAACGGAAATTGCTGGGCTGCACAGAGAGAGTGACGAGTGTTTTCCTTAGCGCCCTCCAGTCTGCAAGTGCCCTGAATGCCAGCTCTTCTGCTGAGGCCCGATTCTCTTCGAACTGGCTCTGTGGTCCAGGTGACATTGTTGACTGTGGAGTGCCCTGTTTGTGGAACTATCTCCTTGTGGTAGAGAGAGGTTTACAGGAAATTAAATCTCCACAGAGAAATGGAAATTGCATGAGGAAGTCATGTGTGTTTGGCATGGTTATTATTCATGTTGGAATCCTTAGCCTGGAGTCCCGGCTCTGTGTCCCGTGTTTGTGTCCCTGCCACCCAGGGGAAAGACTGAGGTTGAGATCTGACCTCTCAGATTTAGCCTGGCCTAGTTCTGACTGTTGCAAGCATTTGAGGAGTGGGAACATATGTGTTTTCTTTCTTCTCAAATAAATGAATAAAATTATTTTTAGGTATTTAAGGGATTACAGAAAGATTATTTTTCTTAGGCCCAGCATGATGGCTAATTGCCTTGCATGCACCAGGATCAGTTTGTGTCCCAGCTGCTCCAGGTCCCATCCATCTCCCTGCTTGAGGCCCAGGAAAGCAGTAAAGGATGGCCCAAAGTCTTGGGCCTGCACCCTTGCAGGAGACCCAGAAGAAGCTCCTGGCTCTTGGCTTTGGATTGGCTCAGCTCTGGTTGATGAGGAGGGTCACAGAATCCAGGGCAAGAATATTGAGTTGTAACTATTTTATTTGGGGAAAATTCCCATGCAGCAATAGTGAGGCATGGATAGCGTGAGATAAGAAGGAAAAGCCAATACGCGTGGTTTTCAAGCACAAGAGCTTGATGTCTCCAGAATTCCTAAGAAGCCTTCAGTGCAGCTCCTGGAGCTGGGCGAGCATTGGGGCAGGGGCACTTAGCCACCAGCTCCTGTCCCCCTAGGAGAGTAGCACCAGTGTCAAGAACAGCATCACGTGGCCCTGTAGGACCTGTGACGTTCAGGCAGGGCCAAAGACCTGCAACAGAAGTAGGAAACCCCCAGGGGTGTGCTTTTGGTACAATGCCATCAGTAGTGAGGCTGAGCTTGCCCAGAACTGTCCAGTGTAGCTACAGCTGAAAGGACATCTCCCAGGAAGCTCTGGAGCTTCTGCAGGGAAAGAACAACGCAACGATGGAAACACCAGCAGAGCTGCCTGACCCAGAGGTCGGTGGAGGCCTTCTGATGGAAGTGGTTTCTAAGCTGAGAAAAAGCAGACAGAAGGGAAGGAGGCAGATAGAGATGAACTGCAAGTTCAGAACTGTGCGGTTGGGGTAGAGATTACAAGATGGTCACGAAGGGAACAGAGAAGAGCCATGTAAACAGAATTACGTGATCAGATTGTATTCTAGAAAATTCATTCTGATCAAAGTATGTCAGTAGATGCTAGGATAGGGCTGATGAGTGAGGTCAGGATAAAGAAGAAGTCAGAGTGACCTGTTAAGAGGCTGTTGAATTATCTAGGTGAGGAAATGTAAAAAATTAGAACTAGGGCAGAGGCTGGCACATTGACATATCAGATTAATGCTGTGCCTGCTAGCACCAGCTGCTCCACTTCTGGTGCAGCCCTCTGCTTGTGGCCTGGGAAAGCAGCAGAGAATGACCCAAGTCCTTGGGCTCCTGCACCCACATGAGAAACAGGGAAGAAACTCTGGCTCCTAGCTTCAAATCAGCTCAGCTCTGACGTTCTCTCCCTGTAAAATCTGCATTTCAAATGAAAATACATATTCAAAAATAAAGTAAGAACTAGGGAGCATCTGAGAAAAGTAAAAAAGTAAAATATATTCAGTTTCCATATCTCTGTGCTCTGTTCCTGGCTAAACCGCGCGTGTGTGTGTGTGTGTGTGTGTGTGTGTGTGTGTGTGTGTGTGTAGATTATCACAGATGCTGTTGTGAATGGAAAGTAGCAGATTCATTTAAAATGTAAAAAAAAAGGAGTTGACGCCATGGCATAGCAGGCTAAGCCTTCACTTATGACACTGGCATTCTATATGGACACTGGTTTGAGTCCCAGCTATTCTACTTCCCATCCAGCTCCCTGCTTGTAGCCTGGGAAAGCAGTGGAGGATGGTCCAACCCCTTGGGCCCCTGTACCCACATGGGAGATGCAAAGAAGCTCCTGGCTCCTATCTTTGGACCTGCTCAGCTCTAGTCATTGCAGCCATTTTGGCTCTCTCTGCCTCTGCCTTTCCAATAAAAATTTCAAAAGAGCTGTTTGAAAGCAGCTTAAGCAAATTGGGAAGTAAAACTGCTGTCAGAACACCGCAGGGACCGTCTTGTCCTAGAGATGAGGCCGCAGAGTACAGGGTACCATGGTTCCTCAGAGATGTCTCCTTGTCGTAGAACTGTATCCTCTATTGGTTTGACCTTTGTGTCATTTAACCTCACTGAGTCCTATTTATTTGGCCAACTCAACACAAAGATAATGACACTGTTATGAGCGGAAGTTAGGCTCAGCACATAGTGGGGTGTGACCGTGGCAGGGAAGCAAGCATCTCTGGACCAGGAATCAGGGAAAGATTCTGTGTAGGGTAGCCAGCCCCAAGAGCTTATGTCCAGTGTGGACGCTGGCCTGCCAGCCCTCCACAGCAGGGTGGGGTTTCATGATGGTCTAGAAACCAGTGGCTTTTGAGTTGTTGAGAAGGTGACTATGGAACCACTTGGAGAACAAACACCCTAGGACAGCATGCAGTGTTTCCAGTGTTTGTGATTGCTCACGGTTCCCAAACATTTAACCCACATATGTCCGTGAGGCTGGGAATAGTCTTCAGATCCCAACTCAGTAACTTATTTTAGTTTTGTGAAAGAGGCCAAAAGCCATGTGCCTTCTGTTGATCCTTCCTCTTGTATCACCATTCACAAACTAGCCTCCTTCTGTTTTTCTTGCTGTGTCTCATGCATTTAATAATGGCTAGAAGTATTCAGTCTGCCAAGACTTGAGCTTGGGCACATGGGGTCTCTTCCACGGCCCCTGATTGCATCCCCCAGCAGGCCCACAGTGAGGCTGTACATTCCCCTGCTTATAGGACAGAAATGTTTGACACCTCCAGCAAAAAAGTAGGAACCAACCCACACAAGGTGAAAGTGTCCTTGGGGCTTGTTTAGGGTAAAGCGACCTCAGGCTTGTCGGTGCTGGGAATGTGTTCTCTTTCTCAAAAGAACGCCCTGGGACTTCCCAGCACAAGTGAGGGCAGTTAGGGAGGCCAGTGCTGTGGCCTCGTTGACCCCAAGCCAGGTGGTGTTTTAGCTTTTACGTTGAACATGTGCTAAGCTTGTGAGTAAGCAATCACTTTCCGGAAGAGAAGCCAAAACACACGTACTTAAGGAGCATAGAGTCATACAGCAAAGCTGGAATTTGAACCTGGGCGTGAGATTCCACAACCACACCTGAACACACCGTTCTTTCCCCTTCCTGCAAGCGGAGACCTGCCCTCCAGAGCACACAGAGGTGTTGCAGGACCTCACAGCGTGTGGGCGGTCAGAGACGTCAGAAGTCCCATGTGCTGCGGGGAGGGAAATGCCTTGGGTGCTGCTTGGCTTCCATGAGACAGATGGGTGCAATTCAGGGAGCCCTGTGGCCATCAGAAAAACCATTCATCAGTGAGAAGAGAATATTTACCTGTTATGTTTCATATTTTGTTTTTCCTTAGGTTAAAAAGAGCAAGTGGCATGAGCAGCCTTTTGGGGAAAATTGGAGCCAAGAAGCAGAAAATGAGCACCCTTGAGAAATCTAAATTGGACTGGGAGAGTTTCAAGGAAGAAGAAGGGATTGGTGAAGAATTAGCCATCCATAACCGAGGCAAAGAGGGGTAAGCAATAGCATACTCCTGAGAGGCCTCAGAATTCTGAGATGATTTCTTGGAAACAAACTGCAGTTTTAAAAAAACAGGGGCTTTTCATGGTAAAACAATGGTTGCAAGTGCAACTGTGAGGGAAGCTGTTCTGTCGTGGGGCAGGTGCCACATGTGGGAGTCGCTGGAGATAAAGGGAAGGAGGGCATATGACCAACACTGCTTACTGTCACATATGCCAGTCACATATGCCAAGCTGGATTTGCAGAATTGCTACTCCAGGGAGCTGTAAGTCGCCTGGCTTACTCACATGAGCAGTCGGGCTCATGGTAGCAGCCTTGGCCTGGTCTGAGTTATTTGGCCTTCAGAGTAGCCAGATTTGCTTGGGTGCTTCCAAAACAATGCCAGCAGAATTTTTGGTTTTCCTTCATTTCTCTGTCTATTTATATATTTGTTCATGTCATTGTGACCTGGGTGGGGCTTCACCCATGGCCTCAGCCTGTCTGATGTGCCTGACCCTTGGACAATATCCCAAGCCTTTGCTTGCCCATTTCCACCTTATTTGGGAACACAAAGATGTCCACAAAGTACATACTTGGCGGTAAAAAGAATCCTTCCTTCACATGTTTGTTCTGCTGATTAAACCAAAAGTGAAGAGAGTGTGTTCGAAGTCAGGGAGCAATTATGGACCCCAGAAGAAGAGTTACTACAGAAGTGGGTTTGAGGTTCCAAGTCAACAACATTTCCCAGCCCTCAGGGTGAAAGAAGTGCCCAGGGGTAGCAAACCAGGCACCTCCAGGCTCAGCTCCTTCACCAGTGAGGTTGGGATAATGCTCCCACCCTCACCATGTGCTTGTGAGGGTCTCATGAAATGAAGCATTTATACATCTGTTACATGTATGTGAAATAGGTAAGTCACTTTACAGCATACCTGTCAGTAAACGCTTGCAGGGAATACCTTAGAGGAAAGACATGAGGAATTTTTCAGGGGGGAAGGTCATATATCCAAATTAATCCTCAAGATTGTTTGAATGAACCTGGAAGCCAACTAGTATGCTTTCCTGTAAGGCGTTTCAGTGACTTTATGAGCTTATCTAACGATCAGACTTCTCAGGCGAGGGGAGCCAGAACCATCTGGGAAGGCCCAGATGAAGCACTGACAGGAGTGGGTGTTACCTCTGCCAGGCGAGGCATTTGCCCCTGGCCACCCCACTCTGATTCAGCTCTGCAAGCTCATAGCTCCCTCCTGTTCTCAGCTTTTGCACAGGGATCTAGGGCAACAAAGGAGCTGCTAGTGCATACTCCTCTTTATTGATGATACAGGTTGGAAAGCATTCACTCTGCTCAAGTTAATAGAGTTCTAAAAGTAAGGGGTGGTGCTAAGTGAAAATCCGGCTGAGTTAATCAAATGTAGCCTGGGAGAGAAAACAAGATTAAAAAGACAGCGGCCCAGTTGTGGGGCTTTCAGGCCATGGAAAATTTCATCATTGGACTAAGGAATAAGTAAGAGCCTGCCACTTTGCTGTTCTGGTTTTTTTTGTCCTTTGTTTGAGCAACATCCCTCTCCTGGATTTCACAGCTAGGATTATATTTTTCTAGTGCAGATCTGATGAGGCTGTGTTCTACCCTGACCCCTCTCACCTGTCTACTTCAGTGTCCACCTCAAGCCACCCCGTCACTTTCCTTTTCCAGCTTCTCCAGACAACACAGGAGTTGGACCCTTCATGCAATCTAGAACAGAAACTGCAGTTTTGATTCTCACCTTGGCCTATTGTGAGACTCCCCTGGGGAAAATTTCCAAAGTTCAGGTGACATTGTCACCCCTGTGTAGTGCCACTGAATCCAGAGTCTAGAACAGATAAGTCACAGATACCTGTGTCTTTCAATCACTTCACAGGTGATTCAACTACACAGCTAGGTTTGAAAATCACTAGACAAATCATAGCATCAAATTCTTGGGGGAAAAAAATTTCTGGAGGCAAGAGCCAGACATCAGTTGTCATTTCCAGCACGTACAGCTGGAAAGCCAGCTGCAGAGCGGGTGCTTTTGTAAGTGTACCAGAGTTAAAGGAGGGTAGGCACTAATTAAATGTGCTTGTTGAAATTTCTAGAATTCAGGTATACTATATAATTTCCAAAGGAGTAAAAATGAAGTGATTTTTTTTTTCAATTAACCACAAGAACAAAAAGATATGAGTTAAATAGAACAAACTAGACCAATAGGAAAAAAAATGAGATGAAATTGAACACTAAATTCATCTGTGTTTCTATGAAATAGACAAAAACAATTGTTCCAGTTAAAAAACATAAATATTTTGAATTTTTAACAGAAGTTATATGTAGCTTAGATTTAGACAATTGTATTTAAAAATGGTGAAAACTAAAAAATTAGAGTTGAATCATTCAGATACTAACAAAAGAAGTTGGATATAGCCATAATAATAGAAAAAATAAGCTTTGAGACAAAGCCATTTCTAAAAAAATGAAGAAAGCAATTTCTTCAAGTGATAAAAATACCCATCTTCCCTGGGAGATGGTGATCTGAGGTAGACTGTGCTGTGGCCATTATCTCCTGAAGCTCCACACAGGCCTTCCCTAGGACACTGCCCTTCCACTCCTAGTTTTGTTCCCAACAGAAACACATAATTAACGTCTAAAGACGGAAAGCCACTCAGATGTCTATCAGCAGGGTAATAGAAAATGAAAGTATGGTGTGTTCACACAATGGAATGTTGTTCTTCAGTGGGAATACACACGAAGAAACTAGGAACATAATGCAAAGAGTATGAGTTCTTTGTGTGAAGGTCAAAACCAGACAGAACCTTTGTGTCCATTAGTTCAGTCCGTGAAAGAAAGAAGTCCACAAAAGAGTATACCATGTATGGTGCCGTTCTATGTCAGACTTATTTAAAAAAAAAAAAAAACAGGCACTACTAAACTTCAGTGTTGAAGAAACAAAAAACTGAAAGTGAGAAAATGAGTTGCCAGGTCCTGAGCAAGCTCACACCTGAGTGGCTGTTGATGTTGGGGTCAGACTTACTCAGGAGCCCCTCAAGGCTAGTATCCATGTGCTTCTTGACCCCTTACCAGAGCTTGCTTTATGGAGGTTCATTTACCTTGCTGCTGCATTCTTCCACATGTGCATTATTTCACAATAAACTGAATGGGGGCTGAGTTCCACTCTTGACCCTGCCATCAAGCTGCAGTAACCCCTGTTTCTCTGTAAAGCAAGGATAATGGAACCCACCTCTCAGGGTTCCTATGAGAGTTAGGTAAGTAGGAAACACCTACCAAGTTTCCAAAGATAGGAATCCCCTAAGTCCTTCCACATGCCACCATCGACCACACATGGCTGTAGTTTTATCATGAACGCTAGATGCTTTCAGGCCTTGCATCCCTTCCTTATGTATTCCTGCCAGCTCTTCCACTATGGAGTCTTTTCCACAGAGGCAGGAAGTGGAACTGGGGGCATCTGTTCCCGTCCCCTTTTACCAGTTTCTCTCCCTTCCCTGAACTGTTGGATTTGGGAAGTCCCAGGGCAACCATCTCTTCCTCCACAGGAAAGCTCGCTCGTCTCAGAACTGAACTACCATTTTCTGCTGGGAAAGTTGTTCTCCTCTACCCTGCTCATTCCACTGAGCTCCTGACTTGACACCCCTACTTGAATGTCTTAGCCATCACGCTCCATGTCACTGTGGAAAGAAAACCCAGGTGTCATCCTCAGTTTCTTTCTGTTTACATCCTGAGTTCTACCTGTCCTTCCTTATCCAGCACCACTGCCACCTACCCCAGCTCCAGCCACTGGCATCTGCCCTACTCTGCTCCTTGCATCTGCCTCTCTGTCTTTCCATGTCTTGTCCACCCAGCATCTGAGAAACTGCTTGAAGAATATAAACCATTCCTTCCTTGTTCCAGTAGCACTTCAGGTCAATCTGTGTTAAACACTCACTTATGCTGACCGGCCCTGGCCTCCCCAAGCCCACCCCTGTCCTGCCTTCCTCTTTGTCTGCTGCAACCCAGCCTCACGGCCCCTGTGTGGCTCTACTCCCCAAGGGGGCCCTGCTTGTCATCTCAGTCCTGACATGCCTCAGAGTGACCCATAGCTCAAGAACTGTCAACCCTATCACCCTGTTTGTCTTATTCACTGATTGACTAACATACCTGTCCTGTTTCACTATATGTGCAAAGCCCCAAGGTCAAGGTCTTGTCCCTAAAACCCAGAGCAGCACCTGCACCACTAGCCAGCAGAAGCCATAGCTTTGTTTGGTTGCCTGACAGAACTGAAATTAACCACCTAGAAGAAAATAACTCAGGATGGTATCTCCATCTTTTCCAGTAGGCAGAGTTGATTGAAATACCCCCACCAGTGATGGCTCAAGAGAATGGATTCCTGCCACCCACATAGAAAACCTAAGTTCCCAGCTCCTGGCTTCACCCCAGCCCAACCCCAGCTGCTTTGGATATTTGGAGAGTGAATCGGCAGATAAGAAATCTGTCTGTTGTCTGTGTGTCTGCCTGTCAAATAAATAAAAGCTAGAAAGAAATACCCACAGGAAGCAGGTGTCTGTCTAGCAAAGATGGCTGCCTTTCCTGCACACCCTCATCCCCAGAGCCTCATGCACCATCCAGGACCAGAGTCATGTGCTCCGGTACATCGTGCGTAGCTTCGCTCTAGCCCTGTCACATAGATTTCTTGGTAGTCATCATCACCAGCCCTGCTTTCCAGCAATGCCAAGGAGGAGGCTAGCATCGCTGAGGAGAAATCACTCAGAAAACTGCAGAAATGCAGGTGTGTTAGCTGCTGCCATCTGCCAATCCAATTGAATGTCATGGAGTGTGACGATTGGAAACCAGGTGATTTTGTGATTCAGAGAGGCATGACGGAGGGACCAGGGGAAGCAATTTTCTCTTTTTAAAGAATCTATCTCCATGACCCCTAAGTGTCGTTAAAAAACAGCACATCCTTGAGGTGACATAGAAGTGAAGCAGTGGAGAAGAAATTGAATTAAAATCACTCTGCTTTCCCTCTGGTCCTTCAGGTGTTTATAAATTAGATCCAGGGTGGGGGCACAGGCCTAGATAGTGTCAGGCAGATTGCTTCTTTCAGATGCACCTCTGGGGGCACGAATGATCATCTCTCATTATATCCATCCTGAGCTATCTTCTAGCCTAGGCATGTTCCGCTGCTCTGCGGAGGGAAGAATCGAGGTACACCCTTTTCCATCCCGTGTTTGCGTTGCGCTGAATGCTCTCTTGAGGAATCGCACACTGGCTGTGCTTGAAGAGATGTGAGAGTAATGCAGCTGGCAAAGGCCTCAGTTACATGCAGCTGCGTCCCATTCCCCTGCATCTCCCTCTGCTCACGCTTGTCCTAACCTGCATGGAGCTTTTAGGAGGCAGCACAAGAGGTCAAAGTCAGCTCTTTGATCTCTTAGGAGTGGGTTCGCTAACTGCGGGAATTGAGAGACATCTTCCCTGGCTGCATTTCCTACCTTCTTGTCCCTCTCTCCCTCCCCATTTACCTCGGCCTCCGGAAAAACTAGTAGCAAGGAAATAAGGTCCAAAAGATAAAAGATGTCATGGTTGGTATGTTTAACCTGGTTCTGAAAGGAAAAGCTAGAAAATCCCCAAGGTTCCTGTACTATTAGGGTGTCTTATTATAGAAATTGAAGACTGCCTCTTAAATGGGCCATAAAAGACGATGTGTCCTGCACTCCAGCTTCCCTCTGGGCCCAGCTGAATCAGGCCAGGCCCCCAGGAGGGTAGGCACAGGCTGGAAGAGCACCAACACAATAAATGAGCAGGAGTTTGATTCCATTGTTTGTCTCTGGGCCACATAAAGGGCTTGGGAACTCCCTGAGGCTCAGTTCAGATAGCTGAGTACTCAAGCCACCTTTGAGAGAGAGAGCGACAGTCAAGCAGCCCTTCCTGTTTCTGGAGCGCTGGCCTTTGGTCCCTGTTCCACCAAGTGATGGGTCAGTAAGCTATCACCTGCAATGCCAGCATCCCATAGTAACCCCAGTCTCTACTGCTCCATTTCAAATTCACCTCCCTGTAACGCGCCTGGGAAAGCAGCAGGGAATGACCCAAGTGCTTGGACCCCTGCCACCCCATGGAAGACCCAGATGAAATTCCTGACTCCTGGCTTCAGCCTGGCCCAGCCCGGCTCTGGCTATTATGAAGATCTAGGGAATGAAGCAGTGCAGAGATCGATCACAAACACGTTCGTTCTCTCTCTCTCTGTCTCCCTTTCTCCCTCTTTCCCTCCTCTCCACTCTCATTTCTCATTGTCACCGCTTTTCAAGAAAGTCAGTAAGTTATTAACAACAGCAACAGCAAAAGTGGGGAGAGAGCAAGAAACCCCTTCTCCCACGATTCTTTTTTTAATTTTATTGTTTACAAAGCACCCCTCACAGAGTTCCTTGTATCTCCAGAAGGATATTACAATTTTTATTACTATTTTACAGAGAAAAAAACAATAAAGCATCAAACATTAGGTATCTTGGCCAAAATCGAAAAAACAGTCAATGCAACAGCACCATCATTAGCACTTTTCTGTCTCTTCACAAAAAGGGAGTTCATGTCCAATAGTTTAATTTTTTTTTCATGGTCTTGACAGTAAATCAGGACTATTACAGGATCCTGTTAGCATCTGCAGAGGACTGTGGGTGCGGAGTGATATCACAGATGTGCCATGATAGCCTTTGTCTAGGTTGCCATTGGAAATTCGGTGCATCCTGCACCTGCTGGGTCAGTGTCCAGTGTCCAACCTGGGCTTCCCTCTTGGTGGTCTCGAGGTCAGCTCGACCCAGTACGGCTTCTGGGAACTTGTAAGGCATTTATTCTTGCTCAATGAGCGTCCTAACGTAAACATCACTTCCTCTTCTTCGGAGGAAAGTAGGAAGGAAAAAAACACAAATCCTTAAAGCCACACTCTTCCTCGCCGTCCTCTCTCCGCCCTTTATCCCTGGCAGGTAGTCCTCACTAGAGGGCTTACAGCAAACCAAAGAGCGAGTCAGAACCTTTTCCTGCCAGGGTCGTACCCCAGCAACAGGAGTAAGATTCAGTTCCTGACCTCCAAGTCTGCAAATTTCCACCAGTCCTCTGCATGCAGGCGACCAAGGGTCAGTAGCTGAGTGGACATTCCCTTCACAGGAGTCTGATGTGTAGAAAGTGGGACCTTAGCTCAGCAACAGAACACAGGTCTCCAAGCCTAGTAACCATCTCCTCACAAGGGTAATGATCTGGTAACCACAGATGCACGTTTCCCACAGTGCAACCAAAGAAAAATTAGTGCACAGATTCAATTACATCTCCCATTTTCAATGGCAATTTTGCTCTCTCAGTAGATTAATTAGCAGAGATCTCCTACCCCCAGGCAAATGGTGGCACACTTTATGGCAAGACGGTGCATTAAAATACATGCTGTGTCTCAGCTGAGCACGCCTGCCTGGGTCAGCCTGCAGTGCCTCCCCCTGTGCCTAAGAGGGCTGGGGGAACCTCATTTGCTGACCTGGCCCCCACTTAGAAGCAGTTACATGGGCTTTTAAGGGGAGGCACCTATTCTTGGGAGGGGTCATGTTAACAGGAGTAACCTGGCCCAAACTGATGGAGAATACTAAGGAGAGGAGCCAGGTGGGAGCAGAGGCACAGAGGGAAGCCAGTCAAGTAGCTTCAGTGTGCACCCACATCCCTATGCCCCCTTCACATTCATGGCAGTTCCATGAGATCTTAACTGCTGCCCTGTGTCTTCTATTTTCAAATGTAGCTTTCCCTTATTGTGATTTTGACAGGAGGCATTGCTTCTGTTCCCTCAACTTGGTACCCCCTAATGCCAGGATGTGAAACATGACCAACCTCCCGGGAGGCTAAATGGGGCTCAGAGAGGTTCAGTCCTTAACTAGCATTACCCAGTTCATGTGTAACCAAGCTAGGGTTTGGATCTGTGCTCGGCTAAGCTGTTTTCTTTATTTTCCACTGAAATCTTGTTACAAGATTGTCTCAGAGCCTCTGATGTTCTTTCCCTTTGATGAGGTGTTGCTCTCCCCAGTCCGTTTTCTTTTCACTCACATCTGGCCCACAGGCAACCTTGTGTAGCTGAAATAAGTGGTTTGATGTTCCTGAAAGCATTGTGGGTGATTGCTCTGGGCACCAGCTGTGTTCACCCTGTGGCAACTGCGGGTCCTGACAAAGCAGGGGAGGCCAGACTCCTCCCAAACTCTACTGACAAGTTCTCTCTTCATCTTCCTGCAGGTACATTGAACGGAAGGCTTTTCTGGAACGAGTGGATCACAGGCAATTCGAAATTGAGCGCGATCTCAGGCTGAGCAAAATGAAACCTTGATGTCTTGGGGGAAATCAGTAGCAGTTTAATCCTGTTTACAATGTGAGCTTTTTATGCATCTGTGACATGCTTCCCATTCACTGCTTTCAGGCAAGGTCTCTTTTTCTACATTGAAAGTCCCTTTATGTATCTTGACTTAACATAATTTCATTCGTTTTACTTTCAAAAATTTGTCCTTAAGAAAATAAGATAAAATAAAAGGTGGTCCTATGAGGCTGCTGAAAATGATGACTGCTCACCGTCTTTTTGCCGCAAAGTTCTTCCCAGTCCTTGCCAACCACAGTGGAGAGAGCTGGCCAGCCTAACATAGGTGTGAATTGTTCATATGCACCAAGCTTTTTGTGACCTTGACCTTGCTCTGGGAGCCTAGGGGGGTGTGCACAGTGACTGCATGACACCATGTCCCTCGTGTTTGTGTGCGTCCCCTCAGACTTCTCTCTTGCACTTGCTGAGTGGGCTTCCCCAGGCTGAAAATCAGGATAGTTGATGGCTGAGGTGGGGACTTTGCCACAAGCTGATGCTCCTCCTGAGAAAGAGCCAACCTCAATGTGCGCTCACCAGGCTAGCTCCATTTTGATTTGTCAGAGAATACTCTAAAGGACTCTTTTTTTTACTATACATTTTTAATGAAAATTTAAGTCCCAAATTTCTACTTAGAGCATGGTGTTCTCTGGGGAGCAGCAAGGAGGTGAGTAATGAATTTTGTGTGGAGAGGGAAGAAGGGGTGGACACCTTTCTTATAAACAAAGCATTAACCCTCACACCTGCTTATGGTGTTAAGGCAGGGAGAGGTTAGGTGAAGGTGACATTCCAAAGACTAGAATCCCCTGCAAAGGTGGGGGTGTAGCAATGCCAGCCTCTCCTGTGGACTCAGGCGGGGAGGGAGGAATTGAGGACCAGGTGATAGATGAGCCAGCACGCCTGCACCTTCAGTCTTGGTTGCAAACCTGGAGGCTTTTCTCCATTTGGTCTTTAAAATTGTCCCAAGAGAGTGAGTGCATTTAGAGATGAAGCACGATGGGTCTTGTCTCAGTGAACTGTGAAGCTGGGAAAGAAGTATATGAGGTTCAGTATGCCGTTGTCTGCCTTTTGGATTCGGGTTTTTCACAGTACAGTGTTCCATGAGACTACACAAGAAAGCCAGGATTCCGCTCACTTTGAGTAAGGACTTTGAAGGGTTCTGAGCTGTTTGGAAGAGAGTGGGCAGTGCGCCCCGCTTTGCAGGGCCCTACATCTATCCTAACAGCCTGGAAACTAAACTGCAAAGTCTCTGTCACCTCATCTTCCCGATGTTTGAAGTGCCACCTCTGACCCCTCCTGTTCACTTCTTAATGTTGTGAGACTAGTTCAAGGAACAGAGGAACTTGCCAGCAAGAGAGACTGCTAAGTCACAGCAGCTTCTACAAATGAGTGGCTGTGGTAAGCTAAAAGCCGGAAGTCACTTGACCCTGCCTGGCCATCTGTACTGGCCTCAGTGGTGTTGCTGCAGAATGAAAATTGCTCATGGCACTAGCCAACAACCCAAGCAAAGGACTAAAGCAGGTGGTTGTCTGTGGGGATACTTAAGGCAGGTATGGACTGGCCTTGGTCTTCCTCTTGTCCATTCATGTCCTTGAAGGTCTGGCTTTCTCAGGTAGCATTGCCACCTGTTCCAATCCCTGCTTACCTTACCTGCCAGGAAATGCCCCACCACTACAGATGCCTTTCCCTTCTCAGACCACTGAGGCCTGGCTGAGTTAAGTATGTTCATCATTACTCTGGAAATCCCTTTTCATTCCCATCTTCTGTTTGAACCATGGCCAACCCTTTCCGGCCCACAGTTGTTTTAAGAGCAAGTGAGAGATGTTTTATCTAACTCTTCATGTTCACATGCAGTGAAAATTACCTCCCACAGGAAATGATGTCCCTCATCCAGAAGCTGGTTGACAAGGAAAGCGTTTGCAGGAAGTGGAAAGAATGAGTCAGTGGTGAGGGACGGTTTGGTGGCTCAGCCCCCCACTGTGGCTGAGGGATAGAGGAGGACCTAGGAGCCCAGGGACTCCCCAGGAGTTGCGCTCTGGCCGTGTCTGTTGCCATTAGTACTTTTTGCAGTGTCCAGATATACATGTTGGATTTGCAGGGCTTCTGTTACCTTCTCTTAGTCAAATCTGCCCTGAAACAGTAGAAGATCAGACAGCAAACAAGCCTCTCCCTAGGCCCGCTCACCTACTTCCGGAAGAACACAGAGCTCTAATTAGTTCTGCAAAGGGTCTCTGGGGCTGAATCTGCTGCTACAGCTAATAAAACAGAAGTGGGCTGAGCCCTGGTGGACTGCTATCCCAGAGCCTGTCTTCCTGAGAACTGTGTGGCACAAAGGATTGGCTGAGTGGCTGGCACCGCAGAGCTTCAACAGAAGAGGAGTGAGGTGCTTCTGGCACCACAGCTGGAAACAAAGAGGCTGAGTGATGGGCTAGCCCTCTGGTGCTGTGTCACCTGTGGCGTCAGCACAGCAGAAGCCTTAGTGCTGCTGTGTGAGATATCACCTGTGGTACAGGAGGAATGCGAATGGTTGGTGTGATCATGTGATACAGTGTGTGGTGTGGCTTTGAGGGCTTGATTGGCGTGGTCTGGTGTGGCGTGGTGGAAGGGGTCCAGAATAGGCTCTTGGAAGTGTGATCTTCTGCTCTGAGTTCTTAGCCGGAGCTAAGATTGCATAGGTTTGTGAGGCAGGACCCTTGGCTTTGCAATTACCAAAAATTAGAAGTGGTGTGAGAACAGTGAGCTCCCAGGGAAGGCTAAGAAGCCTTGAGCTTCCTCAGCAAATGATCAGGTGATCCCTGTGCCAGGGGTTTCCTCACGTGTCATTTCCCTAGGTCTCCTCTGGTTTTCCGAGGAGAACACTTGCCTGTGGTCTTCTAGTGAGTTGGCCAGTGGCTCCCCACAACCCCCAACATCATGTTACTGGAGCAGGATGTGGGGGGGTGCAGGTGCTGCTCCCTCTACCTCCCTAGCCTTTTCTGCATTCTTTTCAACTGCTGCTTCCCCTTGTACCTGCTCCCCCCTTCCTTTCCAGTACTACGTAGGTCCAAAAATGCTGTCAGGTGCCATCTTTGTGCATAGAAAGTTGACCCCACAGAGACCAGGGTGTAGAAGTTCAGCAGAGTTCTTTCTGATGGTCCAAACCATGGAACCCCTCCTTCAGGGACTGCTCTGTCTAGTCTGCAATGGACTTCCATAGTTTGTCATCTCAGCAAGCCAGTGCGAGGCTGTTAGTCCTCTTGCAAGGTGGAGAGGAGTGTGGGAAATTAAATAAGGACTACACGCCTAGTGAGCCATACTGGGGCTGGTGCCTTGCCCGATACCTTCCTAACTCTGTGTTCACACTGAGTCTTTGAACCTTGTAGAGGAATGATAGATAACCATACCCTGCCGTCACATTTTAATATATTCTCCAAGTAAGTATTGAGTTGCTATAATTGGTCACCTGGCTGCACATTCCCCAAGTAAGCCATGTTTGTGGGAGCATAATTTGGTACCATCTCTAGGGCACATTGGCCATGTCTGACCAAAGTAGAGCTGTTGCCAGCTCTGTGTTGTAACCCACCTTCTGGGTTGACACCGAGGAAGCCCAACTCATGTCACAAGGGGTGATTACTGGCAGTCATAAAAGCCTAGAAGCCACTGACATGGAGGGAAAATTCTCTAGGAATGAAATTGTTGTGGAATAGGTTAATAAGAGAAAAAGATACAAGCTGTAGGTTTGGTTTGGTTTGGTTTTACACATACTTAGCAGTACTCACAAGAAGTTTATTTAAGAAAAAAAAAGATTTATTTATTTTTATTGAAAGGCTGATATACAGAGAGGAGGAGAGACAGAGAGGAAGATCTTCTTTCCAATGGTTCACTCCCCAAGTTACCTCAACGGCTAGAGCTGAGCCAATCCGAAGCCAAGAGACAGGAGCTCTTCCGGGTCTCCCACATGGGTGCAGGGTCTGGGCCGTCCTCAACTGCTTTCCCAGGCCACAAGCAGGGAGCTGGATGGGAAGCAGGGCTGCTGGGATTAGAACCGGTGACCATATGGGATCCCGGGCATGCAAGGTGAGGACCTCAACCACTATGCTATTGCACCGGGTCCACAAGACGTTTAAAGACTTGGGACTGACATTGTGGCACAGTAAGTTAAACCATCACTTGCAGTACTAGCATCCCTTATTGGAGTGCTGGTTCAGATCCCAGCTGCTCTGCTTCCAGTCCAGCTCCCTGCTAACGCTCCTGAGAAGGTAACAGTAGGTGACCCAAGTACCTGAGCCCCAGTATGGGAGACCCCGTTTGGGGAGGTAAACCAAAAGATCTCTCTCTTTCTTGTCACTCTTCCAGTCTTGGGACAGAGGTGGGGGAGAAGCAATGTGAAGACCTAAGCAGGCAATCAGTTGATCACTTAAATCCTGAGTGAACAAAGTAGTAGTAGGGTATTGTGAGTATGTGGCAAGGCCCAGGGACCTGGGCAACTAATTGGGTAGAGAAGTCACTGGGAAGGTTAGGGTTAATGAGGCTTGTTTGTACAGATTTCTCTTGGCCTTGACTTCCTGTTCTTGGAGATAAAGACAGCCTTCTGGTATGGGGAGGATACATTTCACATGGGAATTTCAGTTTCCTGAGTCTAAGAAAAAGAAAGCTCAGAGTTTCTTTGTTTCAACTGCTTTTCATGTGTCTAACTCAAAATTGCCATTGGGCTGAGAAGCTTGTGGTGGGGTGGCAGGTTCTGAACTCCTTCACTGCCAGTACCATCGGGAGAGTGAATCCATTGAGAAATACACACGGGAACACATTAGGGGTACTGACATCCACAGAACATTGGTTAGCATCACTGATGCCAGCCACCTAAGTATGATCCCAGAAATACAGGATTGAATACAGGTAAATATAGGAGCCATGGTAGCCAGAAACTGTGTGAATTTACTTTAATATCATTGAATTGTGCACTTTTAGTGGTTGATTTTTACAGCCTGTAAATGTTGACCTCAGTTTAAAATATATCCCAGCACAGTAACCAGGTGGCTGCCCCACTTCCCTCCAGCTCCAGCTCCCTGCTTGTGACCTGGGAAAGCAGTAGAGGAAAGCCCAAAGCCTTGTGACCCTGCACCCACGTGGAAGCCCCAGAAGAAGCTCCTGGGGGATCAGCTCAGCTCTGGCCATTGTGGCCACAGAAGATCTCTCTGTATATTTGATTTTCCAATGAAAATAAA